TACAAGGCTTGTCGAGATTACATCCTAAAAAGATAAGTGGCTAAATTACCTAGATTCAGGCTTACTTTGAACATGCATTTGACAGCTTAGGAATGCTGGATGACTATCTTTTTTTCAGAGAACAAGTTGTTCCATGTCTGATTGAAAGCTGTTTACAAATTCTTTTTCTAATGATGAGACTGTTGATATATATATATTCCTGGTGTTCTTTTTCGGGTTGCTGTAGTAAAGTCTGTCCTAATTGCATAGTTCTTTCATATCTTTGCCCTGGGTACCATGGGTCTAGTATTTTGTTCAGTGGTAAAGTTGCAGTTCATAGTGTAGAATTTGAAAAAAAGAAGAAGAGTTCTCTTTGTATTTTAGTATGTCTTAGATTCTAGGAGAAGGGTTATTTATACAAGTGAATCCTAACTAATTAAGGAAGGAGAAGGTTATTTATACAAGTGATTCCTGACTAATTAAGGGAAGACAATCAATTACAACAAAATAAAATATTCTATTCCTATAATTAAACTAGGAAAAAAAACTAAAGTATACTAAAATCACGCTAGTTTATTGACACAATCAACACTGCCCTCAAGTTGGAGCAAAGATGTTCTACATGCCAAACTTGCAAACCACAGTATGAGAAGTCCTTTTATTGAGGCCTTTCGTAAACACACTCACTAGCTGTTTCTCTGAAGGTACATCAAGCAGACTCAAGGTGCTACTAGTAACTTTCTCTTTGAGGAAGTGCTGATCAATTTCAATGTGTTATTCGGTCTTGTTGAACATGATTCCGAGCTATATTGATTGCAGCTTTGTTGTCGCAGCACAGGAATGTTTTCCTTTTCCCAGACTCTCAATTCTTCCCGTAATTTTTGTAGCCAAAGAAGCTCACGTACACCTAGGCCATAGCTCTATATTCTGCTTCTGCACTTGATCTTGTAACTACACTTTGTCTTACTTCTCCAAGTAATTAGGTTCTCTCCTCCGAGTGTTCGATAATGGATGTAGATCTTATGTCATCTAAATATCCAGCCCAATCTGCGTTTGTAAAAACTTCTATCTGGGGGTGACCTTATTTCTGGAGCTAACTTCAGATACTACAAAATGAGAAAGACAATTTGCATATGAGGATATCAGGGATCATGCATGAACTGACTTACCAAGGTGACTCAGTAGGCTATGTCTACTTGTCTAGTCTAGTGAGAGAAATACATGAGTTTTCCAACCAACCTCTGATACCTCTCCTAATAAATTTACCCTCAACCCCTGTTTGTACTTGTGATTGCTTTCAATAATTGATTCTGCTCGCTTTCAACTTGTCATCCCAGTTTCTTTAAAGAGATCTTGAATACACTTCCTTTTGAGAAAGAAAGATTCTCTTGATCTAGCAACATAAATTCCCAAAAAATAGTACAACTTTTTTAGATCTGTGATTTCAAATTCTTGTGCTAACAACTTCTTCAATCAGGCCATCGTCTCTTTTGTCATCTCCTGTCATTACTATGTCATCAACATAAATGATGAGCAGAGTGACTTTACCTTTTGATGTCTTGTCAAAGAGGGTGTGATCGTATGCCAGCTTTGTTGGTAACAGAAGAATAAGTCAAACCAAGTTCGAGGAGATTGCTTCAGTTCTTTCTTCAGTTTTCACTCCTTTCCTTTGACTTTGTTCAGTATCAAATTTGGGAGGAATCTCCTTATACACTTATTCCATGTCTCCATGAAGAAATGTATTCTTCACATCCAATTTTTGTAATGCCCAATCAAGATTAGCTGCACAAGACAATAGAATTCTTAGATTGTTCGTCTTTGCAACTATGGTAAACATTTCCTGATAATCAACTCCGTAAGTTTATTCACCAATCTTGCTTTGAATCCTTCAATCGAGTTATCACATTTATTTTTCACAGTGCATTCAAGGTTTGTGGCCTAGTGGTCAATCAAGTGGGTTGAGAACATGAGGTCTCCAGTTCAAATCCCAGTAGATTCAAAAATCCTAGGTGATTTTTCCAATATGTCCAACAGTCTCCCCTTAAGGGAAGTTTTCAAATCAGGACATATTGGAAAAATCACCTAGGACCTACACGTTTTCCCCCATGACCTCTTTGATGGTATGCGGTCTGTCATGTAGTTTCCCGCATGTCTCCACTGTATGCCTTGACTTTTTACAATAATCACAGTGCAAGTAATCTTTATAGAAGTGATCATCCTTGGCTATTCATGAAAGACAATTGACTCCGACTATTTATTGGAGCTTGTTACTGCATGCACCTCATCGACTCTCTTCATAGGAGCATGCATCTTCAAGAGAAGAAAAATGAACTTGCCAAGAACTTTAACTCTGCTTTGATCATATTCTTGGTTCAAATCAGCTACAAAATCATACCCTTTCCTTTTCAACCAATTGTGGAAAGACACTTCACTTGAAGATCTTGATAATAGTCAATCTCCTGGCCATAGCACACTTAACTCGGAATAAGTATTAGTCATGGTCAACTCACTTTGCTTTGTAACATGTATTTTATTTCGAATCTCAAAGATCTGGGCATCATTACCCTTGCAAGAGTAAGTGCGCTTAATTGAATTTCAGTTTTTTTCAATAGATAAGTATTGCTTTAAGATTCGGGGTGCATAATATTTAAAAGCCATGTTTTTGATTATAACCAAACAAGTTTCTAGATTTAATATAAGAGCAAACAAGACCTTGATCAAGTAAGAAACGGTACCAGAAGGGGAAAAAAAGGCTAACTTTGTATTTTAGTATGCATGAGATGTTGTATTTATACAAGTGAATCCTTACTAATTATGTAGTGACTTAATTACACTAAAAGGAAATATTATATTCCTATAACTACTCTAGGACGAAAAATATAGTCTCCTAAAATTATGCTAATTAGTTACTGGAATCAACATAGAATAATTAATATACTTTGCTCATGGCATCTGATGATATTTAATTCTACAGATTGTCCATAATCTATCTCGTGCTTTGGATATTGATGCAAGCTTGGCAAGGTTTGAGGAAAGATCACGACATGTTTTGATAAATGATGAGAGTGTCTGTGACTCTTGCCATGCTCGACTTGGAACCAAACTGTTTGCGATGTATCCAGATGATACCATAGTGTGTTACAAGGTTTGTCATGTTTTCATTTATTTATTGAATTTTCTGCCTGACATGGACTTTTAGCTTGATTGAGAGGTTTTGTGCAGAAACATTATATATCTTGTTAAAAAAAATTGTATGTTTGTCAACTGTGCTGACTGATTTTAGTGGAAGGATAGGGAGACTAAATTTACAAGGTTTATTGTGCTAAAATATTGATCATGATCCTGTGTAATGCTTTCATCGCAGTGCTTTCGTCGTCAAGGTGAGTCAACCTCCGTGTCAGGTCGCGATTTTAAGAAAGATACTTTATATAAACCAGGTTGGTTAGTGACAAGGTGATATGCTACTAAGGACCTGTGACTTTGATTGGGATGCTCCAAGCATGGACTGACTTGGCTTTAGCCCTCACTACATATGTGGTTAAATTATAATGTCTGCAGCTCATTTCATGGGAAACCCACTACACACCCATAGTTGATATGATGCGACTCTAATGTATATTTGCTTCAGTAGAAGGCAAAAGAGCAAGAGATCCTCGGTAACTTCTCCGTCCGTGCACACTCATGAGCAAAGACACTAAAGCTAAGAAGTGATTTCTTATGCACTTGTGCCCAGGGCGCCGTGGTTTTGAATTTGCACAGTGGCTCATGGTGTTAGGTTGTGGAATTCAGCATCATCCCCTCAGTTGTTGAAGTCGGCAGTAAAACTCGAATGTAGCAATTATGCAACTTTGTATTCCGGTGATGATGAAGAAATGTCTTTGTGTAATGTTGATTATCATTTTTCTCTAGAGCTGTTATGTTTTTAAGGCTGCTGATCAGCTCTAGAAGCAGAATGTATATTATATCATTTTTCTTCTCAGATAAACATTTTTCTTTCTGTATATTGTCATGTGGAAATTGAGTATTGTATCTTTTTAAAAGTTTGTGAATGTGAAACAGGAGAAGTAAATAAATGTGTCCTTTTATTAGAGACGGGAAATAAAAAGAAACTTGTCCCTTTGTTTTGATTCAACTTGTGTCATTCTTTATGGGAAACTTTCACAAATGATAGAGAGGCGAACCATATTGGGCGAGGGAGGCGTGAGATATACAATTTTATCAAATGTATTCAATTGTATTTTTTATATTAAATGTATATCTGGTCGATAATTGTATTACTAATACAATTAATTTGTATAAAAATATTATATTCATTGATACAAGTCAATTGTATCAAGCGTATTAACAAAATACAATTTGTATTAAAAAAATAATCGTATTTATTTATACAAATCAATTGCATCAAGTGTATTAATGAATATAGTTTGTATAAAAAACTATTGTACTCATTGATACAAATCAATTGTATGAAAAATGTATCCACGAATATACTTTTTTTTTTTATCAACGAACACAATTTGTATAAAAAACTATTGTATCCATTGATACAAATTAATTGTATCAACTGTATTAGCGAATAATTTGTATTAACAAATATAATTGTATCAACAAATACAATTGAATCAATGTTGTATTTTATAAAAAATATATTTGTATTCATCTATTGCCTTACGTATTTGTGTTAATGTGTTGCAATGCGTGTTTGTATATGTATATGCATATGCATTTGCATTTGTTGCCTCGCGTGTCTGTACTTATACTTGCATTTGTTACCATTTATTGCATTAAAAAACCATTTTATTAGTATCATTGAAATATACCATTTATGTTTTAAATCATAAACAAGGATATGTATAGTCGAAATATCTCATTTATATTTTGTATCACTGAATTTTTTTTGTACAGTTGACAGCTAGTATTTGTATTATTGACTGTTACAATTTATATTTGTATCATTGTCATATCTAATAAAATTGTATTCTGTCAATTGCACAGAGAGAGAGGAAGAAGCAAGCGAGAGATGAGCTAAAAAATTACTATAAAACCCTAACTCACTCTAATAAACTATAATTGTGTATAGTAAATACATATAACATGTTTGCCTTACTATGTAATTTTTTCAATTGATGATGAATCCTCACCATACTGAATAAATTACGTAAGATGAACTAAATCAGCACATCATGGCGAGTATTGCTCTTCCCAGTTTCACATTTGCAATATGTCAACATAACTCTTGAGGGAATAGAAGAAGTTACCTTCAAATCTTTAGTAAAATGTATTTATTTTTTTGGAGATGCATTATCTAGTAGTTGTATACGTCTGAATTCAATATGTCAAAAATGATTGCTTTTGCAACATGATACTAAACTTCATGGTAAGCTTCTGCCATGATCAATAGCACAGTTGCTGTCCATCCAGTAAACAGGCGTGCACCTTTCCCTTTACCTTTCTTCTGGTCATATTGTTCCCACAGGTACCCTGTCCGTTTATAGTTCCCAACGATATTTCTGTGACGTTAAAAATGCAAACATTATCATGTATATACCACAGATCTGAGCAGCCACCATAATGTATTAAGAATATCAAGGAACAGTTTCAGGTGGGAGAACACCAGTACCTTATCAAATTGCTCCTCAATTCATTATAGACGGTTTTGGCTCTTTCTCTGTATGGTCCAGGCACTTCAAAAGTTGAAACAAAAATAAATTAACATAAGGATCTCAGGAAGGATCAAGGGTGAAAACTTACCTGCATTAGTATTTACACAAACCAATGAATGCAGGAGATGAGTCCATTACCAAAGAAAGCACGGTGTACGAATAAGTATTTACGGAGGATAAAGAGTATCTATAGTAAGATTTTTGTTGTTCATTTCGTACCTTGAGAGTAGTGATGAAGAGACGAAACAATCAAATAATTCAAGGGTATCCAGATAGGCCCTCTCCAATATGGAGCATCATGCTCCGTATTACGTTTCATATACATGGAGCTGGCACAACCCAAAGAAAACAGAGAAGTAACATTTCTTTAGATGTTCTTAATGAAGAAACTACGAATAGATAGTATCATAGTAATACACTAGTATAGTGAGCACATATATCAGAAACTGCATCACCTTGTTTTTGGTAGGGATCTCAGCCCAAAATCAGTCCACAAAATGCTCTTATTGGAGATGAGGTCAAGCTGACTCTCAAGTATCTGTGAGTCCTGAATGAAAATAAGCATGCACGAGCAATTCAAAATGACCAGATCAAACAAGAGATGCCAAAAAAGGAAGAAAGAATAGAGCATTTTACTGCCACTATCTAGCCAAAAAAGTTGAATATAAATATAAAAGCAAATCAAGAGTTAAACAACTGGAATTATTATATTGCTGAAACAATGCTAAAAGACTTACAGGTGGAATAAGCCTGAGGATAAATGGGAAAAGGCTAACATAACCAAGATGAGGAACCAGTTGTAGAACAGGTTTCTCTAGGACTTCTCGTACGAACTCTCGCCTTGGGTAGTTGCTTCCAGTCTCCACTATTTTCCAAGTTAATTGAACCTGAAATGAAAAGAGCGTTGTCGAGAAAAGAAGATACACCACTTCTCATGGCCCATAACCCACCGCCACAGGGACAGGGAAACATAAATCATATTCTAGAATAATAAATAAAGCTACTTAAAAATATAATTAATTACTCAATTAATTGACTTCACCACATCCACAACAACATTTGATTTGGTGAGTAGGGATGACATTTGTTGGGGTGCTTGGTTATTAGGTTGGTCAGTACTATCAATTTTTTTTTTTTTTTTTTTTTGGGGGGGTGGGGGGGGGGGGGGGGGGTTAGTAAAGATTGTGAGAAATATCTAAAATGGATGAATTAACGTATATTTTTGAAAATCAGGAAACACTGTGTTGAAACCTATTGGAACATAAATATTACTTGGTCCTTTCCAACTTAAAATTGTCATTAAGGACTCAAGTAGGTTTCTTATTAGTTCACTTTTGCTTGTAAGAAAAAACTCGATTTATGTTCTCCTCCAGAAACATTTATTACGGGCTCCTTTGAATTTAAGCTTGAGATGCTTAAAGATAAATTATTTTGATTTGCACTATGAGGTTAAAAGAATGCTTCTAGATCAGGTTTCCTCAATTTGGGTATAGGGAACAAAGTTGATTGATAGATTCATTCATAAAGGTTTCAGAAATTTACATGCATTTCTCTTTACCTTGGGATTCACTGTTTGCCTGATAAAACCCACCTAGGTTTTCTGAAGTGCAATGTGCTAAGTAAGGTAAAACAGCACTTAAATACATCAGACAATACTATCAATGAACAAATCATGGATAAGACCATGACGAACCTGATCATGTTTGGAATATAGCAAGCATGAATAAAATCTGCACCAATCATCATTTACAATAAACTATGCATACTCTGCCCCCAGACAATGGTCAGACATGTTAATATGATAAACCACATACCTTCTCTGTATGATTTCCATAATCACAATAAGCTCCATTTGCAGTGTCTAAGTGCATCTGAAACATTAGAAGAACATTTGAGATAAATTTTAATATCTAATAAGTGTTACAGACACTTTAACAGGTGCAGCAGTTACCCTGTTACTATATAGTTACAAGTCAATAATAAAACCCTTCCAGATGGTGCTACAGTCAACTAAGAGAACCTTATACCATCAGAAATAAGAATGCTTAGAAATTAGAAGATACTGTACCTTGTTAAGAAGTTCAAAATCTGAGAGAAGCTTTGCAGTTGAACTATACTCCTGCAAGAGTTATTGCAGGACTCAGCAAATTTTGCAAGACAATGATGCTTTAAGAAACTTGTGTATTTACTATACCTTTTTGATATCTTTATCCATCTTCAGAAGCTCTGCTATTGAGTGCATGGAATCTGCTGCAAGATGCATCCAGCATCTAAGATCCACGTGACGTTCATCTTCACTTGGGTGAGATGCACGTGGATAATCATCCAATCCAGAAGATAAGGTCTGTAGAAGCCAAAAATGGTAGGTTCTATGGTCAATTCATGCATGAAGCAAATTATATCAGCTGCAGGAATGACTTAGGGAGATAAAACATTCCATTTAACATGTTACTTGTTCTTTATGCCATTATCTTTACACTGATCCTTTATTTGTTCTATCGTATGCTTAATTTTGTTCATGCTCTGGAAGAATGTCTGGCTCATTTTTTGTTTGGTATATTATTATTTAATAAATAAGAGCATCCCTGGATGCAACCCTTACAAAATGAGTATATCTTACCCAAAAGGAAAAAGAACCTAGACAAGAAAAGAGTATCCCGTTCATAAAGGCAGATACTACTCCTAATTTCTAGACCAAACCCTTAACAAGTCCTGCGATTAAGAGTTGCCCTAAATTTTCCTTGATGTTTCTACTATCATAATTTAACAGTCACCCAGCCTTTAGGTGCTCTTTCATTTCGATTGCTTCTTCCTTACTGTTGATTTACACTGATAGCTTAATTATAGGAGTAGAATGATTTTATATTGAATGTAATTGATCATGTGATATTGTTTTTCCTTATTTAGTCTTACGACTCATTGTATAAGTACCCATTTCTCATGGATTGTATATTCATCAAGAAATACAAAGAAGCTTTTTCTTCTTCTTGAAAGTTTCATGGTATCAGAGCCATTGATGTCTTTCTGAGGTGAGCTATCTACTGTGCAGCACAAGGGTTATGTTTTTACCGAAGAGGTCAAGTTTTCTCTCTCTTGGTTGGTTGTCCGCAACACAATCCCCTTCTGGTCAGTTTCTTTTGGATTTTTTTTTCCTGTTGGGGTCACTGGAACAGTCCGAGCCTATCTCTACCAGTTTTTTATTTTTCCCGATCTCAAAATTAGGGTCCTGGCGCGGCAGCTAGCTTTCCGGCCAGATCTACAACTTCCCGGTGACTTCTCCCAAAAAATATTTCCAGATCTCAGGTCGCAGGACTATTCTGACACTTCCCATCTAAGTTCTGGCAGATACCGTCCGTGAATTCTAATAATTTCCTTGTGATGGCATGGCTTCTAAACACTATGCACCCTCGAAAGCCTTGTACGGAAAGAAGCAATCTCCTAGAGCTTGGTTTGACATATTCTGCAAAGTAATGATGTCCTTTGATTACCAACAAAGCAATGTTGATTAACCCTCTTCATTAGACATCAAAGGTAAACACAATCTTGTCGTAGTTTATGTTGATCACATAGTAATGACAGGAGATGACAAAGAGGAGATAGCCCGATTGAAGAAGTTGTTGGCACAAGAATTCGAGATCAAGGATCTTGGAAAACTGCAATACTTCTTGGGAATCGAGGTTACTAAATCAAAAAGAGGAATCTTTATTTCTCAAAGGAAGTATATTCTTGACCTCTTGAAAGAAACTGGCATGACAGGTTGCAAACCAACAGAATCATCCATTGAAAGTAACCACAAATTACAGAGTAGAGTTGGATTCGGTTTATAAGGAGTTATATCATAGGCTGGTTGGAAGACTCATTTATCTCTCTCATATTGGACTAGACATAGCCTATTCAGTTAGTATGGTGAGTTAGTTCATGCATGATCCCCGAGATCCTCATATGCAAGTTGTCTTTCACATATTGCGGTATCTGAAGTCGCCTCCAGGGAAAGGTCTATATTTCTCCAAATAGAAGCCTTTACAGATGCGGATTGGGCTAGATCTCTATATGACAGAAGATCTACATCTGGTTACTAGACAATTGTAGGAGGAAACCTGGTTACTGCACAAAGCAAAGTGTAGTTGCTAGATCGAGTGTGGAGGGCAGACTATAGAGCTATGGACCAAGGTGTTTGTGAACTTTTGTGATTACAAAAGCTACTAGAGGAATTGAGATTGTCTGGAAAAGGGAACTTTCCTTGTATTGTGACAACAAGACTGCAATCATTATAGCTCTAAATCCAGTCCAACATGACGGAACAAAGCATGTTGAAATTGATCGACGCTTCATCAAAGAAAAAGTTACGAATGGTATCCTGAGTTTGGTCCATGTGTCAGCAGAAAAGCAACTAGCTAATGTGTTTACCAAAGGCCTCAACAAACAAACTTTTCATACACTGGTTTGCAAGTCGGGCATGTGCGACATCTTTGCACCAACTTGAGGGGGGAGTGTTGATTGATTTGATAGCTTAATTACAGGAGGAGAATGATATTGTAATTTGTACTGAATGTAATGGATTGAAATTGATTATGTGATATTGTCTCTCCTTATTTAGTCTTAGGACTCATTCTATAAGTACCCAGTACCCATTCTCATGAGTTGTATATTCCTCAAGAAATACAAAGAAGCTTTTTCTTCTTCTTGAAATCTTCACTAACTTACTCTTCCGATACTTCCTCCTCGTTATGTCCAGTTTTTCCCTAAAATTCACCAAAAGCCTCAAATTCTTGTGATTCATTATGCCATCTGGTTCTGATTGTGAGTAATCTTCTTCAAGTCAATAGAATAGATAGAGAGAACTGGTTGTGAAAAGAGACGATAGTAATTGTGAAAGAATGGAAAACTCCATTCATGTAGGCAGTGCAAGGCCTCACACCAGAGGCAGAAGCAACTCATATTTTTGTGATATTGTCTCTCCTTAATTAGTCTTAGGACTCATCACATAAGTACCTTTTCTCATGAGTTGTATATTCATCAAGAAATACAAAGAAGCTTTTTCTTCTTCTTGAAATCTTCACTAACTTACTCTTCCGATTGAAATAACAAGATTTCTGACTTCCTCCTCATTATGTCCAGTTTTTCCCCTAAAATTCCCCGAAAGCCTCAAATTCTTGCGATTCACTATGACAACTGGTTCTGATTGTGAGTAATCTTCTTCAAGTCCATAGAACAGATAGAGAGAACTGGTTGTGAAAAGACACGATACTAATTGTGAAAGAATGGAAAACTCAGTTCATACAGGCAGCATAAGGCCTCCCACCAGAGGCAGAAACTACTCATATTTTTCACAAAGATTGTAAATGCTTTGATCCCATGTGAGAAATAAACAAGGAAGAGAGAACTGAGAGAAACAAGAGAAGATGTCTTCTACATATATCCTTTTATAGGTTAAAGACGCATACATTATTTACATTTCTCAATGTGGTATCCCCATAGCTATCTCTATTTGGCTATCTACTATCTAGAAACATGTGAAGTTAAGTGATTTACAATCTAACTAGATCATTGTAAATAGGGTCTGCATAATATAAATATTGCAGGGCTGAAGGATATGGCTCTCATGCTTTGCCAAATTTGTTACTTCTTCTCTAGCTTATTCTCTACACATCTCATTTATTGGTCCACATAAATAATAATTACAAAAAGAAAAACAAGGTTTTGTTATTGAGTGATTAGGGATCTAATATAGGTCCTCCAAGATTTCAGAAATTGTATTTGACGAGAGGAGACTAAAAATTACCCATGAAATGATATTACCTATCAGCTTTCAAGAAAAAAGGAAAGAAAAGTACATCAGTAGAGAAGTTTTCAGCATAGACATATTTTAGATCAAAACCTTAGGATTTAGTTCACGGGTCGTTGCAGTATCTCTTCCATGCCAGTAATAGCTACCCATTTCCTTTCCTGCAATTGAAAAACTTAACAGGTCAGGAACAATCACATGCAACTCAAATAGAAGATCAGAAAAAGGAAAGCGTGTAGTTCAAAAATCTGGGGAAAAGCATGAGCTCTGTAGATTAAGCCAAAACATTTTTTCCCACCTCACCATCAAGACTTGATAGCTTTTACATCGATTCCTTTTGATGCAAAACCTTGCTGAAGTATTTTATAATTTTCATTACATAAAGTGCTAAAAACGTTATTTTCCAATTGGAAAGTTTTCCTCTTCTACTGGTATTTCTACAGCTACCACAGATTTAAACACGTCTACAAAGAAGATTGCAACGTCCAAAGTTCAGCTTCCAAAGACTTATCTGCCAACCGTCAGCAGCAAGCTTGAAGGTTATTGTTACATTGATACAGTTTTACAACAACAACAAATCCAGTGTAATCCCACAAGTGGGGTCTCATTGATACAGTTCTGATGGAGTAAAATAAAAGATAATATCAAGCTTATCAAGATCTTAAGGCTTTGAAGGTTACATTGTTAAGTGATATCGGTTTGACATGTTTTCCATTTGAACCGACAAAGATATTTCAAATTTATCCAGTACCAACCAAAACACACATTGTCAGTTCTGAATTACTTAATGGCACAAACTTAACAGCGGAAACAAATGGAATAAAGCTGACAAATGTAAATCATGGTCACCACTAATTCTACACCTAAGAATTAGATAAATTTAAGATCACTGGCAAACGGAAGGCTATCTTCTTAAAAAAAAATTCAGAAAATATTAATAAACAAACCGAAGTTAGACTGATACCATAGTAACTAGTAACATCACATTCCCAGCTTATCAACTAGTAAAAACAGTAAAAGATGGACCTTTTTGTAAATAAAATTCACAAAAGAGGAAACTTACCGGCTTGAGTTGTGTTAAACCATTTGAACCATGCTTCAAGGCGGACAAATGCCCGATCCAAGAAGACAGAGATATCCCTGGCCTCAGTTGCAGCAAACTTTTCTTTCTTCAGCTTGGAGATCAGATCTGAAACAAGTAACTTACTATGATTACTGTTCCACCACACCACTCAAAAAATTGTTTAACCAGACTTCGTTATGAACAGATGGAGAAAACCGGGGTCCAATTAAGTCTGCAATGCATAAAATGTTGAGATGGATAGAGCAGAACTTGCAGCAAATGGGCGGTAAGCTGAAATTTTGTCACATAGTTAGCAAGTTGTTCCTCAGACTCGAGGAAAGTGCAAGAATATGTTCAAGCTCTACAATATTAAGAAGATACACATTGTTGAAAGCAGATCTGAATCTCTAAGCAATATTTATTGCTTGATACTGCTGAAAAGATCTGAAATTCAACTAGGGCACTTATTTTTTATTTTTTTTGAAATTGAACTAGGACACTCATTCTCGCAGGGGTAATAATGGCCAGATTTTTGAAATTAAAAACAAAACGCATGTCACTAATCAAGGTTAGTTGACTTCTACCGATTATTCTTCCGCCTTAATTGAATTATGGCCGGACATTGACTATTACCAGGATCTCCAAGCAGAGTGCTCCGATGATGCAGTTTTCTTTCAAAAATTGGTTTAAAAGGAAAGTGTGTATGATCAAATCAGCATTCAAATTCTTGGTTCCTAGAATGCATACTCCTCTGATCAACAAGAAGAGAGCCGATGAGGTGTCATATTGCATCAGGCATCAACTGAAAAATCAGGGTTAACTGTCTCTCCTGAACAACCAATAGCTGAGCACTTCACATAAAAGTTACATACAGTGTGATTATTGTGGAAAACCAAGGCATACAAAAGAGTCATGTTGGAAACTACACGGCATACCAACATTAATCATGGGGGAAAATGTGTAGGTCCATCGAGGGGTTTGGCTAATATTCTAGAAAATGTGGAGACATCCAGGAGAACATCTTCGGGAAAAACTGTCTTCAGATGAAATTCAGCATTTTCGCCGACTCCTGACCGAACTTGACTCACCTTTTGCTGCCACATCTAATTATGTGCAATCAGTAATTGCCTTTAATGCTCACCTTGATTCTTCATTTGTTAATTCTAGTGATAATAGACACATGACAGGCTCCTCTAACAACAACAACAACAACAACAACCCAGTAAAATCCCACTAGGTGGGGTCTGGGGAGGGTAGAGTGTACGCAGACCTTGCCACTACCTCGTGCGAGGTAGAGAGGCTGTTTCCGGAAGACCCTCAGCTCAGGTACATCAAATCCAAGTAAAAGGCGAGAAAGACAGTGTATATACATACCATCGACAGGCTCCTCTAAACACTTACAAAATTACTATTTTAGTCCTAACATGAATTATGTCAGAATAGCCAATGGCTCTCTAACCCCCATCTCAGGAACAGTTTCTGTTGTTTGTGCACCTGATATTACATTATCATGCTTCATGTGCCTGACTTTCATGTAAGCCAGTGTTTCAAAGGCGCGCTTCAGCCCTAAAGCGAGGCGCAAAACATGTTGAGTGTTTAGCCTCGCTTTATGGGCGCTTCAGTGTCGTCATCAAAACTCTAAGGCATATTTTTCCTTGCCAATGAGCGTGATCTTGAAGATGTGACACCAAACAATTGATATTTCACTTTGTAGGCGTTTGGCCATGCGATTTCATATCATGAGATGAAATCAGCCTTTGGACATGCGATTTCACACTGATTTCATCTCACGATTTCAATATCATGAAATGAAATCCCAAATTCTCCAAAAATCATGATTTGGGATTTTCCAAATATAGAAGTTGACCCACAAGTTTATATTTTGTAAAAAAGAACCACATGTATCTACTAGCGATTTGTTTCATATATAAATAAAATTTATAATTCATATCATTACATCTTAAATCATTTATATCTCATATAAAGATTATTCTCATCAAAGTGAAATTTATTATTACTTCAAATCAATTCTTGTTTACAATTTATATTCACCAAATTCATTATTTTTTATCAAATTTATTACTACTTCATTCAAATCAACATTTAATAAAAAATAATTTTTCATCATTATATCAAGGACAAGACCAACTATTATGGTAAGATTATATTGAATTAATAAAAATAATTTTTCAATTTTATTTTTTATTGAACTAAGATTTGATCGATAAATGTTGTATTTTTTAAGAATAGCTTTGTGGTAGTGTATTATGTGATTTTATAAATTTTTGCTTATTTGGTAAGATTGTATCAAGAATTGTGACAATTTTAATAGTTTTAAAACTTATGGGGTTTTTATGTTTATGAGAAAACATACAATATAAAAGTCCAAATTGCATGTCCAAACAAAACATCAACTTCATCTCATGATTTCATATCGCATGGCCAAACGAGCCCTTTATCATAATTTTTTTCAAGTTCTTTGTCCATATATTTATCATTCATGCTTGTGATTAATAATCCTGGACTACACATCCATATTTGTATTTTTTTTTCTCCATTTGCGCCTTTTATCAATAAAGTCCACGCTTTATTTGTGTTTTGAGCTTAAAGCCCCAACATACCTCAAGAGTTTTTTGAGCTTTTCGCTTTTGATAACATTGATGTTAACATGTTATTTGTTAGCTCCAGCACCAAATAACTAAGTTATAGTATCTATTGTGTTTTGCAAGATCTTCAAATAAGGAAGGAGACTTGATAGCATCCACAGTGGCAAACTTGCATTAGAGGTTGATAGAGTTCAATGGGAAATCTAGAAGATGCTTATCGTGGAAGAAGAACTCAAGCCTAACAATTATAGAAAGGAGTGGGCTAAGTGCTACACGAGTACACGTATTTCATGGACCAAGTCCAATAGAGGAGAAAATTGGGGCCACATGAAGGCTCAAAAAAGAGCCAAAGGAGCTGCTATTGGCAGAATGGTTTGTCCTGAAATTTAGATTTCCATGCGTATTGAAATTGAAAGCAGTAGACTCAACAAGCTGATTTGAGGGCCTCATCTCCCCCTCTTTCTCATCCTGAACTAGCAGGGGAAAGGCTTGTGCCATCGAAGGCAGTGGATCATGAGGATACTTCCTCAGTCCCATAAGGAACTGAATGAATCTCCTGTCCTGTTCTGCTTTGTGCAGATTATCTTTCGCTCCACAAGTGCACTGGCAAGTGCACTGAGTCTTCGCATTCAAGGGATTTAACTACCCCCCCCCCCCCCCCCATAAACA